TAGACCCGCTGCTTATTCACGTCGAGAGGAACCAGTTGAGGTGGCTCGGGCATCTGTTCAGGATGCCTCCTGGACGCCTCCCTGGGGAGGTGTTCCGGGGACGTCCCACCGGGAGGAGGCCCCGGGGAAGACCTAGGACACGCTGGAGGGACAATGTCTCTCAGCTGGCCTGGGAACGCCTTGGGGTCCCCCCGGACGAGCTGGAGGAAATGTGTGTGGATAGGGAAGTCTGGGCGTCTCTGCTTAGACTGCTGCCCCCGCGACCCGGCAACGGATGAAGCGGAAGAAAACGGACAGACGGACGGGAGGAGACCGAGACACGGCTCAAGAAGTCAGGGTTATGTAAAATGTGTTTTGTAGACAGGAGTTTCATTCTTTGCTGCAATTTCCCAAGAATTATTAACCACGTGTGTGTAATCAAGGCCTGGGAAAGCTCTTTCACGTCAGTAAAGAGTTAGCCTCACAACGACCAGTTTATATAAATATTTTACCAGAAGTAGAACCACTTTTTATCTGTTTTGTGGCCTGAGTCTGTGAAAGTTGGTGTCTAAATAAAACATACTTACTTACTACTACTTTAGACTTTAGACTCTTACTTGACTCTTCTTTGCCCATTACATATGTTATATAAACTAAGAAGTGAAAGACATGTTCCCTGCCAAGCATTTCTTAAGAAAATTTATAAACAAGATTTGGTTACACATTGTTTTTTAACCCAGAAATCTCTTTGGAATGGCTTTATTTCATCAACATATTGGGCATGTGACTATGTTTATGTGAAGGTTATTCAGTAGGTAACAGTAACAGTAGGTATCTCAGCTTTACAAAGCTGTCGATTGGCCAACAACAGATGAGAGAATCAAACACAAGAAATGCAATGATAACAAACACATAGAGATATATGTCCATAAGGGACGGAGACCAATCTTCATAAATGTCAAGGTTATAACATGTATTAATGTGAGGCTAAAGTATCCCCCACTGGCCCCGGGGCCTCGGTCAGGAGCAGTGGTCCCCATTTGACCTCAAAACTGAAAGTGGTGTGTGAGTTTTCAATGTGGGTAATATTCTGTTAGACGCCTTCGCACTTGAGTCTTACTTTGTACAGTGCAATGGCTCGCTCGGTCTCCACTGTTTCCAACCAATGTCTTCATCTTGTTATAAAACTTCTCTTCTGCATAAATGTTAGAAAGCGTGATCTCAGCCGTCTGTCATCACTGAGGCTTGAGAGGGCCTCTATTTTTCACTTTTCTGTCCATGGAAGATGATCTGAAGTTGTGACAGGGAAGACAATTACATTCATAAGTCATGTTTAGGCGCGTTAGAATTATATCTTTATTAACACGGTGAAAATGTGTGGCCTAAAGACAGTGCCTGACCAAGTCCGTCTGTCCGTGGGAGCAGACCCCTCCCTCATCGTGGGCCTCCCGGAGGTTTCTCACTTCTCTCCTGCAGGTTTTTCAGAAGTTTCTTGCTAATTCAGGACAGTGGTGAGGATCCAGGACACTCAACATTCAACCACATTTATGGACTTTATCAACATTTATGGACCAATGGCTCTATGCGTTTTTGATTATTGCATTTCCTGTGTCTAAAATGTTTGATTCTCTGATCTGTTTTGGCGAAATTCAACAGTTTTGTAAAGTCCTCTGAGAAAGCTTCTGTTGTGATTTAGGGCTGTACACAAATACATTGAATTGGATTGACTAAACGACAAGCGGAGCCGGACTACACTCTGCATGTAAACCCAGTATTGTTCCACTTTGCCAAAGACCCCATTGACCACGGCACTAATGGGAACATCTCCTGCCAATGACTTTAGCAAAGGGACCATAGTGAAGGGACAGGCTCGGACTGTTTCAACGGCCTCAACACTGGTCACTAATGGCTGTTTGTCGGAGTGACGGAATGTTCCAGAGGGTTCCCACTGGTGAAAGCTGCAAAGCCTTAATGAATGTGTCAGCGTTCTGTTCCACATCCTAAAGAGCAGCTTTTAATCAGGTCTTTGAGACGGAGAAGGAGCCTGAAAAGAGTGGCCAGATCTGCGATGCCAAACGTGTGCGTCTCAGTTTGTCACGTCCCTAGTTTTGTATTTTGGCTCATTACTTGTCTTTTAAAACGGTAAATGTTACGGTAACTCAGCTTTCAGACCACTAAAGAATCAACAATGTCATAAAATCTGTGTAATTAGTTCCCTGCTGTAAAACAGTTTGGTTCAATTCAATTCAATTCTTTTTTTGTTTTTGGATAGCCCTAAATCACAACAGTTTATGTCAGAGGATTTTACAAAGCTGTCGAATTCACCAAGACAGAATTGAGAATCAAACTGTTCAAACACTAGAACAAAATGGCGGCGGGGGCTGGTAAATGTGAAAAAACACATCTGCGCTTGCGTCAGCTGCACGAGCTCCATTCATTTAAACGAGTGCCTTCAAAAGTCCACAGCGACTAAACTAGACTGGTCCAAAACACTCCCCTCAGCATTAGAGTTTCGCTTTTCAGCCCAAGCCCGAGCAGGCCCGAGGCCCGACCTGAGTTCGGGCCGGGCTCGGGCCTCCTTTTGGCGCTCAGCTGCCGGGTTCGTGCTTCTTTTTTTTAAATATATGTTTCTTTTTTATTATTATAATAATAATTTTTAAATGATTTTTTATACATAATGATTTGCATATATATATATATATATGTCCGTTGATTGACAACAAGTTATTAAAAAAAGTTTATATATTAATGACACCGTAACCAGCGTGTCCTACAGCAGCAGCGAGCCGTGAACGCATCATCCCCGTGTCTCCTGCTGCTGTGGTCAACAGCGAACAGGAACAATAGTAGAAATGGATCAAGTGGAGACAAAACAAATTAAAAGTGGAGACTAAACTTGCAATTGGAAGGTGAGTGCGTACAACGGGAAATCAGATGTGTCGGGTTCTGTCGGGCTCGGGCCTGTTATACAGCGTTCATTGGTCGGGCTTATACGGGCTCGGGCTTAACATTAGCGGGGTCGGGCCGGGTCGGGCTTCATTTTTCAGGCCCGAACAAAACTCTACTCAGCATTGACACACATGTGGAACAGAGCTTTGGGCCAAGAGCCAACTTTTGGACCATCCTGTAAAGGCGTCTTCGAGCGGTAAGAAGATGCTATAAGTTAGCATTGGCTAATTCTTATTCCCGGTCCACCCCCATCGGCCCGGGGTGGTATTGCAGCATGTCAGCGCACGTCATTTTGGCCGACAAACAAGTGAGAGATCATACATTACTCTACACAATCAAAACAGCTGGTGTTATTCCCATGTCCTTGGTCCAATACCCTTTTTAAACAAAATGAAGTGACGAACGTGCTGATTAATGATTAATTGTGTTAACCGTGAATACAGGAGCATATAGTTGCGTTGTCTGCAGCCCTGTTTGTGTTACTCTTACATAACATGCGTCGCTACACACGGGGATGGAGTCAGGGCTCAGCTGCTGACCCAGGACAGCCGGACACATGGAACAACTGACCTCGGACTCTCAACAGGGGAAGAACAGAGCGAGATAGAACTATTAGAAATCCATGTTTTCTGCATCACCTCAATCTAAAAAAATCACAAAAATCTCTAAATGTTAAGCGACTTTCTTCTGCTGCTGTTTGCTGCAACCACAGTTTTCCTCCTTCTGTGCTTCCCTTTGTGGAGACCTGACACCACACGTTTGGTCAGAACTCAGGACAATCCAACTTGTCACTATTTCCCAGAAGATTGAAGTGGTTTGGAGGAAAAACTGCATTGTGGCCATTTTCCGTCTTCCATTCCACGTCCAGTTGTTCCGACAGAACTGGTCTGAGCCTTTTCCTCGACGGTCGCTGCAGCAAAAGAGTCTGTTTTGGTCCTTGGCTCGGTGACTATAACAGGTGCCAGAGATCTGTGACTTCATGCTCTAAATGTCTCGGCTTTAGGTCGTTTGCAGAGCGACAGAAAGCTCGGACTGGAATGACGGACGCATGAAACATTCCACAGGCGGAAAAATGGAAAATGACTGGTTTCCTGAGAGCAGAGGATCGGAAAAGCCCAGAGGTTTTGCAGATTGAAGTTGGTGTGAGGATGAATTTATCAAAGGTTTCGGTAACTTTGATGACTGAAATTAATCTTTTTAAACCTTTCAACCATTGTTTTTTGACAGTGTTATCTTTTCAATACGCTGGAATCGGCAGTGAGTCTCTGGAACAGTTATTTTGTGTTTTATAATTTATTTATTTTGGTTTTTCTATGTATACATGTTTCTACAGTAGTGTGTTCATGGTTTTACACTGATCCAGACCAGAGCAGAGAGCATGGTCCCAACCAAACAACATCCAGCAGAAATTCCCTGGAGGAATGCTAACGTGATAACGCTAATAAAGGATTCAGAATTTCACTCTGAACCAGAGCAGAGAAAATGGCCCAAAGCAATCAGAGTCTGCAGACATCAACCAGAGGAAGCAGCTTATCACCACCCGCCGCTTCTTTCCTCTCAAAAAACGTCTTTACAGGATGGTCCAAAAGTCGCTCTTGACCCAAAGCCACGTTTCCAGATGCTGTCGATGCTGAGGGGGGGATTGTGTTTTGGACCAGTCTAGTTTAGCCGCTGTGGAATTCAGAATGCACTCGTTAAATGAATGGGGCGAGCGCTGACTAACGCATGCGCAAATGCGTTTTTCCACATTTTCCTGCCCCCGCAGCCATTAAGCGTGACTACGTCTGTTAATATTTACAGTCTATGGCTGTGGCCTAAAGTTCTGTTGCATTTTATTAGTATTGTTATAAACTGTTAGAACAATGTGTTTGTTTGGATGGATGTGTTTCTGCTGCAGGGATCAACAAAGTTCCCATCTATCTTTCATTCGAACCCTTTAAACAGTGTGTTATCATGCAAAGAAGAATAGTAAGAACTAACATGAAAGAATCCCAAAACTTCCCAAAACCAACATCTTTGCTTCCAAAATGTAGCAGAATCAATGTCTCAGGAGTTGTTTCTGAGTCGAATGAATGAATGAAAAGGTTGTCGGCCGAGGAGAAGGTACAGTATGTGTCAATGTACCACAGCAAAATACCAAAAGTGCCGGACTATAAACCGCAATTTTTTACTCTCCAAATTCTTTAAACCCTGCGGCCTCTGGAATGTGTCCCTCAATACAGAAGTGACCTGTAACATGTGCGTCTGGTCTTACCATGTGTAAACTCTGGTCCATGGTCATTTCCTACATGTACGTCTGGTCTTACCATGTGTAAACTCTGGTCCATGGTCATTTCCTACATGTACGTCTGGTCTTACCATGTGTAAACTCTGGTCCATGGTCATTTCCTACATGTACGTCTGGTCTTACCATGTGTAAACTCTGGTCTTACCATGTGTAAACTCTGGTCCATGATCATTTCCTACATGTGGGTCTGGTCTTACCATGTGTAAACTCTGGTCCATGGTCATTTCCTACATGTGGGTCTGGTCTTACCATGTGTAAACTCTGGTCCATGGTCATTTCCTACATGTACGTCTGGTCTTACAATGTGTAACCTCTGGTCCATGATCATTTCCTACATGTACGTCTGGTCTTACCATGTGTAACCTCTGGTCCATGATCATCTCCTACATGTACGTCTGGTCTTACCATGTGTAAACTCTGGTCCATGGTCATTTCCTACATGTACGTCTGGTCTTACCATGTGTAAACTCTGGTCCATGGTCATTTCCTACATGTACGTCTGGTCTTACCATGTGTAAACTCTGGTCCATGGTCATTTCCTACATGTACGTCTGGTCTTACCATGTGTAAACTCTGGTCCATGATCATTTCCTACATGTGGGTCTGGTCTTACCATGTGTAAACTCTGGTCCATGGTCATTTCCTACATGTACGTCTGGTCTTACCATGTGTAACCTCTGGTCCATGATCATTTCCTACATGTACGTCTGGTCTTACCATGTGTAACCTCTGGTCCATGATCATTTCCTACATGTACGTCTGGTCTTACCATGTGTAACCTCTGGTCCATGATCATTTCCTACATGTACCTCTGGTCTTACCATGTGTAAACTCTGGTCCATGGTCATTTCCTACATGTACGTCTGGTCTTACCATGTGTAAACTCTGGTCCATGGTCATTTCCTACATGTACGTCTGGTCTTACCATGTGTAAACTCTGGTCCATGATCATTTCCTACATGTACGTCTGGGTCTGATCCTAGTGGCTGCAGTTTCCTCGGTTGAATCTCATCCGACCAATCAGAGAGCAGGGGAGGCGGGTGTTGTAGGTCGGTGTCGGTGACGTCAAGAGTTTGTGCTGAATTTGCTGGTTGTAGTTTGTCGGAGAATGCGATAGTAAAATAATCTGTTCTGGTTCAATCCAAATATCAAGAAACTGAAGCCGGAGCAAGAGGAATGTTTAGTAAATGTCACTGAAGCAAATATGTTGTGGCTCTACTCCCCACGGGCTCCGTTAGTGGCAAAGGAGATGCTAAAGCTAGGCTAAATGCTAATGCTAGGCTACATGCTAAAGCTAGGCTAAATGCTAAATGCCTCACTCACTCGGGCTCATTACATACGTCACGGTAAACTCAGATCCAATCGTTTCAATCTGCAAAAGGAGTTAGCCCCTCCCACCTGTTCACGGAGTCAATGAAGCAGATCCAGACCTTAGTATGAAATGAAACAATGGTGTGATAAGACCAGGCTGGATCTATTCATTATTGAAAGAGAACTGAGAAGTGGATTGTTGCTAGATCTGACTTGCTAACTGCAGACTCCCTCCACATCCTTGAGCAAGACACTTGAGAGAGGCGTCTGGCCTCGACCCACATCCTGATGAGTGGTTTTCCTGCAAACACAGTCTGACTATTTTCAAACTAATGTTGCGTGCCTGCATTCTATAAGTCCCATGAGCGCCCGAGAACAATGAAGCATTCCTGGACGTTTATGACCCACTCACCGGCCGTTTACGTTCCTCTCTGGACAAAGACAGTTTCTCTGAACCTCCAGGACACGTGAGGACCAGGTGAAGCTTTAGTAGTAGTATGTAGTAATCTTTATTTATATACCGCCATTTCACTGCACATCGGAGTCTCAAAGCGGTTTACAATTGTTATTTTTGGGAGCGGGGCCAGTACAGGAGGCACATGTCAGACCTATTGTACATATTTTTAGTGGTAGGGGAAACCGGAGCACCCGGAGGAAACCTACGCAGACACGGGGAGAACATGCAAACTCCACTCAGAAAGGCCCTGGTCCAACCGGGATTCGAACCCAGGACCTTCTTGCTGAGAGGCGAGAGTACTATCCACTCAGCCACCGTGCCGCCCTGTTAGTTTACATTACGATCCTGATCTCTGCAGATTGGTGTTGTGATGGCGAAGGTTCTTAATAATAATAATAATGCATTGGTTTTATATTTAGTGATTTAGTGCACTTAGTTTGGACATTTCATTTGCTGTGTCCACTGTGGTGAGTATTCTGTGTATAGCACCCCTGAGCACCTCCCTGAGCACCTCCCTGAGCACCTCCCTGGGCACCTCCCTGAGCACCTCCCTGAGCACCTCCCTGAGCACCTCCCTGAGCACCTCCCTGGGCACCTCCCTGAGCACCTCCCTGAGCACCTCCCTGAGCACCTCCCTGAGCACCTCCCTGGGCACCTCCCTGAGCACCTCCCTGAGCACCTCCCTGAGCACCTCCCTGGGCACCTCCCTGAGCACCTCCCTGAGCACCTCCCTGGGCACCTCCCTGAGCACCTCCCTAGGCACCTCCCTGAGCACCTCCCTGAGCACCTCCCTGAGCACCTCCCTGGGCACCTCCCTGAGCACCTCCCTGGGCACCTCCCTGGGCACCTCCCTGAGCACCTCCCTGAGCACCTCCCTGAGTAGCATGCTCACCACCGGTGGCCCCAGCTAGCTCCCTTTTTGTTTTTGTATTTACATATTTAGCATTTAGGCCTTTTTTTAGATTCAGCTTCACCATTTTAATAACTTTTGAATAAACTTTTACTTTTTGTTTTAATTTGTAAAATAAAATTGACCTTTTCTAAATTTAGTTTGTCTAATTCTTTTCTCTTTTTAGCAGCATCTTTTTATCAATAAACATTTTTAACTTTTAGTCACGTCTCTGTCATGTTTTAATCAGAGACTTACCTGTGTTCCTTTTTATATTGTAATTTGATTGTGACCCTTGGGTTTTTAAAATCAACCACACCCTCGGTCTGCCACACTCTGGCATACCATGGTCAATTTTATTTGGACACTCAAAGGCGCTTTTCATGTCATTCTTTCACTCCATACACATATAATACTGTAGCCACAGCTGCCCTGGGGCACACTGACAGAAGCGAAGCAACCAGTCTGTGCCATCAGCCCCTCCCACCACCACCAACCACTCACACACACACCAGACTCACTTAAGTACTAAAGTCTTACTAAAGTAAGTACTAAAACAGCAAAAATAACTAAATGCTAACTGCTGCAAGGAAGCAGTCTGTTGCTATGGTAACTAGCATAAATAGGACTAGCACTGGCTTTTCAGTCCAGGACCAGCCCAGGACCAGCCCAGGACCAGTCCAGGACCAGCCCAGGACCAGCCCAGGACCAGCCCAGGACCCGTCCAGGACCAGTCAAGGCCCAGCCCAGGACCAGTCCAGGACCAGTCCAGGACTAGCCCAGGACCAGTCCAGGACCAGCTCCAATAGAAAATAAAATTTCTTGTAATACAAAAATCCACAAACTCCATAAACTACGTAAACCAAAGAGTCCTAAAGCCAAAGGACATACACCGAGCAATTACACTTCCTAAACTAAAACCCGCCAAATGGAGCTATGTAGAAAGAGCAGACTCGAGAATAAAAATGTCAGAAAAGAGCCTTGCACACAGTAGTAGTAGTAGTAGTAGTAGAGTAGTAGAGTAGTAGTATTTTTATTTGAGCAGCTTTACAATGTATTTTATATATATATATTTTTTACATACACATATAATTCAAGAAAGAAAGAAAACTCAAAAGGAGAAGGCAGAAGCAAAAAGCGTATAAGAGCCTTCTTCATTATCAATAATCAATTTAAGTGGCTGCAAAAAGATTTACATTTTCACATTCCTGGATTTTAACTTTCATCATTTTTATCTTGTTGATGCAAACAAAAACAGCAAATAATAAATGTCATCTTTATTGTTTAACTCAGTCCAATATATTATTTATTCATGACGTTTTGGCTTCATGCCTTCGTCAGATGGTCAGTTTGCAATTTCTCTTGTCCACAAAATACAAAGTGGTCCCAGCCCAGAAGCTCATAGGCTCAAGAATGGAGCTCTGACCAAGATCAGCCAAATCTAATCTTCAGATTCTCCCAAAGTGAGCTCTGAAGAGGACTGACGTGACGGACTTCTCTTCCGTGTCGTCGTCTGTGAAACTGTTTGAAAATGACAAACTTGCTGCCGCTCCTCGGTGGTCTTCCTGGTTTCTAAGAATGACTTTGGAAAGTTTCTCTGCGGCACATTTCTCTCACGAGGACCACACACACACACACAGATCATCACGTCTAGACTCCGCAGGGGGTCGTGTGAGAGTGTAGCCCGAGCCCCGAACGACATCCAGCAGCTGCGGCTCAAACACCCCGACGCCGTCAAGGACCCGGCACCTGGCCTCAGAGCGGTACCGAGTGTTGGGACAGGGTCTAAGACGGCGTTAAAGCAGACAGAAGACACCGGACCCGAGGCCACACTCTTCTCTCTCTGCGGTTTCACTCATGGATCTATAATAATAACTGGATAGAGTATTACTAGCTCACAGCTGTCCCACCCACGGCCACAGGGGGCGCTGTGGTACTGCAGACTAAATTCACGAGGGCTGCCCTGAAAAAAGTCCAATAGAACTCAATGTAAAATAAACCAGCTCGACCTCAGCTGACAGAGAACCTGACAGAGAACCTACAGAGAACCTACAGAGAACCTGACAGAGAACCTGACGGAGAACCTACAGAGAACCTGACAGAGAACCTGACAGAGAACCTGACGGAGAACCTACAGAGAACCTGACAGAGAACCTACAGAGGACCTACAGAGAACCTACAGAGAACCTACAGAGAACCTGACAGAGAACCTGACAGAGAACCTGACAGAGAACCTGACAGAGAACCTACTGAGAACCTACAGAGAACCTGACAGAGAACCTACAGAGAACCTACAGAGAACCTACAGAGAACCTGACAGAGAACCTGACAGAGAACCTGACAGAGAACCTGACAGAGAACCTACTGAGAACCTGACAGAGAACCTACTGAGAACCTACAGAGAACCTGACAGAGAACCTACAGAGAACATGACAGAGAACCTGACAGAGAACCTACAGAGAACCTGACAGAGAACCTGACAGAGAACCTGACAGAGAACATGACAGAGAACCTACAGAGAACCTGACAGAGAACCTGATAGAGAACCTACAGAGAACATGACAGAGAACCTGACAGAGAACCTACAGAGAACCTGACAGAGAACCTACAGAGAACCTGACAGAGAACCTGACAGAGAACCTACAGAGAACATGACAGAGAACCTGACAGAGAACCTACAGAGAACATGACAGAGAACCTACAGAGAACCTGACAGAGAACCTACTGAGAACCTACAGAGAACCTGACAGAGAACCTACAGAGAACATGACAGAGAACCTGACAGAGAACCTACAGAGAACCTGACAGAGAACCTGACAGAGAACCTACAGAGAACATGACAGAGAACCTACAGAGAACCTGACAGAGAACCTGACAGAGAACCTGACAGAGAACCTACAGAGAACCTACAGCTTTTAGTGTCACTTTTTTTCTTCTTAAATCCTTCTGTTTTCTTTAAATCCACACTTTACTGCCACAAACTCTGCTCCTTTCCTTCCCGCTCTGACTCCGCTCTGATGAACAGCTCTGATTGGTCAAAGCGTGGCTGAGCCCACCTGTGCACGTGCATGAGAGCCACACACGTGTATTTGGCGCAAAGCATCATGGGAGCTCGTCCACGGCGCAGAACCGGGAAGACCACACGATGCCCAAATATGGACGAGTTTCGCTAATCTCCCATGCACTACTGAGCACAAGCCATTCATCTGAACAGGGCGCCATCTTGGATCACCGGGGCCTGGTTTCACTCCATCAGACTCCAGGAGCTGTCAGACCGAACGGACCGGTCTGGCTTGAATCAGAGTCAGAGGGTCTCTTCTTCCCACTCCTTTTCGAGTATCTGCAAGTGTTTCCTTGGTGTATAAAATATTCATAATGTCGTTTTATGTAAATGTAACTCAGGGTTATTTATGCATAATTTTGACATTCTACTTTTGCTTTTTGTGCACTTATTTGCTCAAAATAAACATGAGGGAAAGATTGTGATATATTTGGAAAGTTTTGGGCAATGCAGTGGTCAACACGTGTGTTTCAGAGCAAGGCAAGTTTAATTGTATAGCACAGATCATACACAAGGCAAAGGGCTGAACAAAACAACATTCAAATCATAAATAACCACAGTGCATTAAAAAGAGAGAAGATTAATCCCTCAGGTGTAGCAGCGAATCAGAGCTGTCTTTGACCCGGATGTGAACATAGCCAGAGAAGAAGCCTGTCTCACATTTTCAGTAAGACTGGTGGATTTTAGCAGTGGTCCTGTCTGGGTCATGGGGGTCCGCAGGGAGGAGTGTGACTTCAGCACATCCAGCGTCACTGCAGACACACACACACACACACACAGAGACACAGACAGACACAGACACACAGACACAGACAGACACAAACACAGACAGACACAGACACAGACAGACACACACACACAGCCAGACACAGACACACACACAGACACACACAGACAGACACACACACACACACACAGACAGACACACACACACAGACAGACACACACAGACACACACACAGACACACACACACAGACACAGACAGACACACACACACACACAGACAGACACACACACAGACACAGACACACACACACACAGACAGACACAGACACACACACTCACACACAGACAGACACACACACACACACACAGACAGACACACACACACACAGACAGACACAGACACACAGACAGACACACACACACACACAGACAGACACAGACACACACACAGACAGACACAGACACACAGACAGACACACACACACAGACAGACACAGACACACACACAGACAGACACACACACACAGACAGACACAGACACACACACAGACAGACACACAGACACACACACACAGACAGACACACACACACACACAGACAGACACACAGACAGAGACCACACTTTTCTCAGAAACACATTTCCTGATCAGTCGAGTCGGACCTGCTTCCTGAGGTCAAACTCCTGCTGCAACAAACAACCTCTGACGACCACGGAGCCACAGACTCATACAACCTCTGACGACCACGGAGCCACAGACTCATACAACTCTGAAGACCACGGAGCCACAGACTCATACAACCTCTGACGACCACGGAGCCACAGACTCATACAACTCTGAAGACCACGGAGCCACAGACTCATACAACCTCTGACGACCACGGAGCCACAGACTCATACACGGACCACGGAGCCACAGACTCATACAACCTCTGACGACCACGGAGCCACAGACTCATACAACCTCTGACGACCACGGAGCCACAGACTCATACAACCTCTGACGACCACGGAGCCACAGACTCATACAACCTCTGACGACCACGGAGCCACAGACTCATACAACCTCTGACGACCACGGAGCCACAGACTCATACAACCTCTGACGACCACGGAGCCACAGACTCATACAACCTCTGACGACCACGGAGCCACAGACTCATACAACCTCTGACGACCACGGAGCCACAGACTCATACAACCTCTGACGACCACGGAGCCACAGACTCATACAACCTCTGACGACCACGGAGCCACAGACTCATACAACCTCTGACGACCACGGAGCCACAGACTCATACAACCTCTGACGACCACGGAGCCACAGACTCATACAACCTCTGACGACCACGGAGCCACAGACTCATACAACCTCTGACGACCACGGAGCCACAGACTCATACAACCTCTGACGACCACGGAGCCACAGACTCATACAACCTCTGACGACCACGGAGCCACAGACTCATACAACCTCTGACGACCACGGAGCCACAGACTCATACAACTCTGAAGACCACGGAGCCACAGACTCATACAACTCCTCGGTCTTGGCATTTTTGATCTCACACAAAAAATAGCCAGATCAGCAGAGTGCGGACAGTAAAGGCAGCGGTCTCACCTGGTGCCGAGGCTGTCTCACCTGGTGCTGGGGCTGTCTCACCTGGTGCCGGGTCTGTCTCACCTGGTGCTGAGGCTGTCTCACCTGGTGCTGGGGCTGTCTCACCTGGTGCCGGGTCTGTCTCACCTGGTGCTGGGGCTGTCTCACCTGGTGCCCGGTCTGTCTCACCTGGTGCCGGGTCTGTCTCACCTGGTGGTGGGTCTGTCTCACCTGGTGCTGAGGCTGTCTCACCTGGTGCCGGGTCTGTCTCACCTGGTGCCCGGTCTGTCTCACCTGGTGCCCGGTCTGTCTCACCTGGTGCTGGGGCTGTCTCACCTGGTGCCGGGTCTGTCTCACCTGGTGCTGAGGCTGTCTCACCTGGTGCTGGGGCTGTCTCACCTGGTGCCCGGTCTGTCTCACCTGGTGCCGGGTCTGTCTCACCTGGTGGTGGGTCTGTCTCACCTGGTGCTGAGGCTGTCTCACCTGGTGCCGGGTCTGTCTCACCTGGTGCTGAGGCTGTCTCACCTGGTGCCCGGTCTGTCTCACCTGGTGCCCGGTCTGTCTCACCTGGTGCCCGGTCTGTCTCACCTGGTGCTGGGGCTGTCTCACCTGGTGCCGGGTCTGTCTCACCTGGTGCTGAGGCTGTCTCACCTGGTGCCCGGTCTGTCTCACCTGGTGCCGGGTCTGTCTCACCTGGTGCTGAGGCTGTCTCACCTGGTGCCCGGTCTGTCTCACCTGGTGCCGGGTCTGTCTCACCTGGTGCTGGGTCAGTCATCTCTGCACCTGTGGCACAAACAGCCCCATGTCATCTGTCTATCCACATCTGATTGTATTTTAAAGTTTTACGCATAATTTATATCCAGGCCTTGCTTATCTTCAGAGGGCTGACGGGATCTGCTTTTCATCTGCAGTTATGGCAAATTTAGGAAATCCATTTTTAGTTATAGAATTTGCTTAACTAATGTCTTGTTAATACTTTATTATTAATATTTATGTCAATTGGGAAGGGTGTCTTGCAAATTCAGACTCACTGATGACGGCATGACATTTTTTTTACACTTTGGTAAAAAACAAACTCTGTAACTGCATGCCTTTTCTTCCACTGCGCCGTGTTTCTGCTTCCCATTTCTACCAGAAGGTGGAAGTGTTATGGTGCATTCAGACGCAAAACGCTGAAAGGTTGAAGCCTCGCTCACCAGACGCGCATTCTCTAGTTTTCAGACGCAGAGGACTTCACACCAGAACGTCCTGACCAGCGCCGGAAGTGGCGGAAGTAGCCGGCTCTGATGCTAACAGAGCTATGCTAGCGGCTTCTTGTGCACAGATCTTCTCCAATAATGCAGCTTTGCAGCGTGTCTTTGAACAGAGACATTCCACGGGCTTTATATAACAGCAGTATGTGTTCACGGAGGTGACTTTATATAACAGCAGTATGTGTTCACGGAGGTGACTTTATATAACAGCAGTATGTGTTCACGGTGACTTTATATAACAGCAGTATGTGTTCACGGAGGTGACTTTATATAACAGCAGTATGTGTTCACGGAGGTGACTTTATATAACAGCAGTATGTGTTCACGGAGGTGACTTTATATAACAGTAGTATGTGTTCATGGAGGTGACTTTATATAACAGTAGTATGTGTTCACGGAGGTGACTTTATATAACAGTAGTATGTGTTCATGGAGGGGACTTTATATAACAGCAGTATGTGTTCACGGAGGTGACTTTATATAACAGCAGTATGTGTTCACGGAGGTGACTTTATATAACAGCAGTATGTGTTCACGGTGACTTTATATAACAGCAGTATGTGTTCACGGAGGTGACTTTATATAACAGTAGTATGTGTTCATGGAGGTGACTTTATATAACAGCAGTATGTGTTCACGGAGGTGACTTTATATAACAGCAGTATGTGTTCACGGAGGTGACTTTATATAACAGCAGTATGTGTTCACGGAGGTATTTATTTGTATTTATTTTGATCTCCATTAGCTGTAATAAGTACAGCTATTCTTCCTGGAGTCAATCCAGCATGCTGCTCACAAAACAATATTTACACCAGTTTTCAACACCGAGTGATAATATTACCCCCCCCCCCCACCACACACACACACACACACTCAAATGTACAAAGGACATAGTGTATGCTTATCAGTGAATACATAAGAGAGAATATAATGACAGCATTAGTAGCGTAATGGTCCAGTTACTTAATTAGACCACCATTGGTCACACAACAGGTTTTATCAAATTAATACAGGAGAAGATGCCTTTTCAAAAGGGCTTTAAATTGGTACTTACTGTTTGCATAAACAATATCACTTGGCAAAAAATTCCAACCAGACATTACAGTACTTTTTCCATTGTTTGTTGTGACTTTGGGAAGTTTAAATCTGCCCTCCGTAGCATGTCTGGTTTCATAATTATGATCATCCGAACTAAAATTTAACTCTTTGTACAGTACATTTGGAAGGTTAGTTGTAATTATATTTCTTATTAAGTTCATTAAAGAAGCAGTAAATCTCTCTTTTACCTTGAGCCAAGACAGTGTATTATGCATCCAGTTTACATTAGTTCTGAGTGAGCACCGAAGTGCACAACGAGCTGCTCTGTTTTGGACGGTTTGTAGAGCTTTTATATTTGTTACGGCAGCACAAGACCAAATCTCTGAGCAGTAGTCTAACTGCGATAATACAAGTGTTTTTATAACATCTGTAGTCATACTGAAAGATAACATATGGCGACATCTTTTCACCATTGAGAGGCACTTTCCCATTCTACTGGCCACCATACTAATATGTTTAGTCCAAGATAGTTCATTGTCAATTTCAATACCAAGCAGTCTGGTCTGTCGCACCTGCTCAACAGTTACATCTTTGACAACAAGACTCAATTTGGGTTCATCCCGCAGCATGTGTTTTGTTCCAAAAACAATACTCTTTGTTTTGCCAATATTTAGAACTAGCTTGTTATTTGTGACCCACTCAAATACTGATGTTAATTCTTTCTTTAAAACAATTTGAAGTTCTTCAACCGTACTTTGTGATGAATAAATGGTCGAGTCATCGGCATACATTGCTATTTTTGACTTTTGTAACACTAGTGGCAAGTCATTTGTATATATAGAAAACAGGAGTGGTCCTAAGCAGCTTCCTTGAGGTGTACCACAGCTAATTGTTTTTATATCTGAGAAGCTTCCATTAAAAAAGACAGTTTGTTTCCTGTTTTCTAAATAATTCTTAAGCCACAATGATGCTGCTGGACTGAACCCATAGCATTGCATTTTACTCAACAGAAGATTGTGATCTATAAGATCAAAAGCTGAGCTGAAATCCAACAACACAGCTCCTGCTAACCTTTTGTTGTCTAGTGCTATCAACCAATCATTTGTCATCTGAGCCATAGCAGTCGCAGTCGAGTGACCTGCTCTGTACGCATGTTGGAAATCTATATTCAGATTGTTATTAAAAAAATATTTTTGTATTTGTTCAAATACAATTCTTTCCATAATTTTGCTCAGAGCAGGTAACAGACTGATTGGCCTACTGTTAGGGCCACAAAAAGGAACAGTAGCATTTTTTGGTAAAGGCACAATTTTTTCTATTTTCCAAGCCTGTGGATAGACCCCCTCAATTTAGAATATGAGCAATAGGAACAGCAACTAACTTTGCAGACAGTTTCAATCATTTAGAATCAATATTATCAACACCAGACGGTTTTTCTTTACATTCTAATAGTAATAGGTGACTTTATATAACAGCAGTATGTGTTCACGGAGGTGACTTTATATAACAGCAGTATGTGTTCACGGAGGTGACTTTATAAAACAGCAGTATGTGTTCACGGAGGTGACTTTATATAACAGCAGTATGTGTTCACGGAAGTGACTTTATATAACAGCAGTATGTGTTCACGGAAGTGACTTTATATAACAGCAGTATGTGTTCACGGAGGTGACTTTATATAACAGCAGTATGTGTTCACGGAGGTGACTTTATATAACAGCAGTATGTGTTCACGGAGGTGACTTTATATAACAGCAGTATGTGTTCACGGAGGTGACTTTATATAACAGCAGTATGTGTTCACGGAAGTGACTTTATAAAACAGCAGTATGTGTTCACAGAGGTGACTTTATATAACAGCAGTATGTGTTCACGGAGGTGACTTTATATAACCGCAGTATGTGTTCACGGAGGTGACTTTATATAACAGCAGTATGTGTTCACTGAGGTGACTTTATATAACAGCAGTATGTGTTCATGGAGGTGACTTTATATAACAGCAGTATGTGTTCACGGAGGTGACTTTATAAAACAGCAGTATGTGTTCACGGAGGTGACTTTATATAACAGCAGTATGTGTTCACGGAGGTGACTTTATATAACAGCAGTATGTGTTCACGGTGACTTTATATAACAGCAGTATGTGTTCACGGAGGTTACTTTATATAACAGCAGTATGTGTTCACGGTGACTTTATATAACAGTAGTATGTGTTCACGGAGGTGACTTTATAAAACAGCAGTATGTGTTCACGGAGGTGACTATATATAACAGCAGTATGTGTTCACGGAGGTGACTTTATATAACAGCAGTATGTGTTCACAGAGGTGACTTTATATAACAGCAGTATGTGTTCACGGTGACTTTATATAACAGCAGTATGTGTTCACGGAGGTTACTTTATATAACAGCAGTATGTGTTCACGGTGACTTTATATAACAGTAGTATGTGTTCACGGAGGTGACTTTATAAAACAGCAGTATGTGTTCACGGAGGTGACTTTATATAACAGCAGTATGTGTTCACGGAGGTGACTTTATATAACAGCAGTATGTGTTCACGGAGGTGACTTTATATAACAGCAGTATGTGTTCACGGTGACTTTATATAACAGCAGTATGTGTTCACGGAGGTGACTTTATAAAACAGCAGTATGTGTTCACGGAGGTGACTTTATATAACAGCAGTATGTGTTCACGGAGGTGACTTTATATAACAGCAGTATGTGTTCACGGAGGTGACTTTATATAACAGCAGTATGTGTTCACTGAGGTGACTTTATATAACAGCAGTATTTGTTCATGGAGGTGACTTTATATAACAGCAGTATGTGTTCACGGAGGTGACTTTATAAAACAGCAGTATGTGTTCACGGAGGTGACTTTATATAACAGCAGTATGTGTTCACGGAGGTGACTTTATATAACAGCAGTATGTGTTCACGGTGACTTTATATAACAGCAGTATGTGTTCACGGAGGTTACTTTATATAACAGCAGTATGTGTTCACGGTGACTTTATATAACAGTAGTATGTGTTCACGGAGGTGACTTTATAAAACAGCAGTATGTGTTCACGGAGGTGACTTTATATAACAGCAGTATGTGTTCATGGAGGTGACTTTATATAACAGCAGTATGTGTTCACGGAGGTGACTTTATATAACAGCAGTATGTGTTCACGGTGACTTTATATAACAGCAGTATGTGTTCACGGAGGTGACTTTATATAACAGCAGTATGTGTTCACGGTGACTTTATATAACAGCAGTATGTGTTCACGGAGGTTATTTATATAACAGCAGTATGTGTTCACGAGGTGACTTTATATAACAGTAGTATGTGTTCACGGAGGTGACTTTATATAACAGCAGTATGTGTTCACGGAGGTGACTTTATATAACAGCAGTATGTGTTCGGAGGTGACTTTATATAACAGCAGTATGTGTTCACGGAGGTGACTTTATATAACAGCAGTATGTGTTCACGGAGGTGACTTTATATAACAGCAGTATGTGTTCACGGAGGTGACTTTATATAACAGCAGTATGTGTTCACGGT